CAGCTCATGTGACTGTTCATTCCAGGCGACTTGTGCTCCAAAGTTGCTGACCATCCCCGCATTCTAATATATTGGTGGCAACCCATGAAATCTGAGAGACACCGGTCTCTCCCAACTTGGAATGTTCCGATACGACATGATCTCGATAGTCTCTAGCCGCGTGGGAGCCTCTAGCCGCGTGGGAAGACTGACTCCTGTCTAACATGTTCTGTTAGAGTGAGCCCATATTTTCACACGCTTCTTATCCGGCCCAATAAAAACAAGTTTCTATCCTGACAGCTACCTAGTAGCTATTCACACGAGTGGGGAACAGCGATACGACTTCGAATGATAACCACTTGTCTCTCCTATAGCTGATAGAGTGCCGGTATCGAATCAGATCGCGGAGTAGGTCTTAAGCAGTGAAGCCATCCAACGCTCCCCTTGCATGATACTACTTTTGCGTGGTGGAGTCACGGGAGCTAAAGGCAGTGTAGCAAGGCTCCAGGCTGCTTCATAACTAGGTACTGTCTACCATAAATGTATACACTGCTGGATTCGAAGTCGCACCCGGAGAGATAGGTGCGCAAGTCCAATCCTAAACTGCTTACGAGCTACGAAAGGCATCTGAGAAGCTCCTGTGTACTCCAAGCATGGACACGCATTGTTAAATAGACATTGTCCAAGTCTCCGTGTTTGTTTATTGTCGGTGATTGGCTAGGGCGAAGTATACCTTGATTGTTGACAAGTCAAGTAAGTCCCTTAATTTCGATCTCTATGGTCTGATCGTCGACAATTTGGGTACTATGTACATCCTGGTGTAGCGTGACATCTTTGAGCAGCTTGTCACACTTTAACAATTTTGTCTTAGAGTGAGGGGAGAGGTAGAGGTATAGTACCTGCCGTAAACAATCACACAGTGCATGGATGTGCTGGCGTGAAGAGCTGATATGTGAGCCTTTAGCGACGATCTTCAACCATGCAGGCAAGCCAGCGACTCAGTATCTCTGATGCCTGAACTTGACGACTCACGGATAGGTGAACTGTTGACTCTACGTCTAAATTTAAGTGATAGACAGTAGGCTCCAATGATTCCGGTCAGAATCTAGAGCCTATGCGGCCTCGTATTGTGAGGGAGCTGGCAGTTTTGTTGTTCATTGTTGCATTAATGATACTTCATGTACTCAGTACTTGTGTTGGACGGGTCGACCGCCAACAAGCGTCGATCTCTTTATCTGCGTATAGTGAGTGATCCCTCGGAAACAGACCCCACCCTGCGGGGCTCTCGCACGTTGGGCGCCCAGCCCTGTTCGCGTCTGTGTGCCGTCTGGTCTGTCTGGTCTTTGTTCCTCTTGCTCTCTCTCTCTCGTCTGACAACCCAACTGGCGATCGTGGCTTGGCGTCACCTTTTAGCACGGACTTAAGGAAGCACCTGCATCCGCGCTCTTCCGCCAGAGCGCCAGAGCGCCTTCTTGCGGGTAGTCTGGAAGGGAGGCTGGCTTGACCGCCTTGAGATCGACGGAGCCCGTCGAGGAGCTGTCATCGTGTGAACAGCCCTGCCGTTGATACATAATGAGCTCATTGCAGCTACTTCGCAGGTGGGTAGGGCTGGGAAAACCACCGCGCAGTGGAGAGTGATTTGGAACAACCACGTCGAATCCGAGCTGGTTAAGCAAGATTGGTAACATGCAGGACTGGAAAGACCGGAAGAAGAAAAAAGAAGGTGAAAAAAATGATGTTATTCAAAAGCCGGGCGAACCAAGCTGCCAAAGGACTAGACTCAAGCTATGGGAAACCGACACAGACCAGTCCCCTAAGCAGGCACAACAACCCACCAAACGACACGCACCGGTTCTTCTTGGAGACACGCCCACCGCGCCGCAAACCAGCAACTCGCATGACCTGGTGGAATATCCCGTCTCGTTTCTTTTTGACTTCTCAAGAATAATAATATTTGATACCTAATTGTGTGCCGTTCCCACTTGATGCCGAGTCGCCGAGATTCCTCTGCACGCGCTTACCTATGCGCATCGTATGACTCATTGAAATACGCCTGGAACTCGGATCGGATATCATCTGCAGGTTGCTGGAAGATGCTTTGACATCATCGAGCGATAACTATGGCAGCATCATATGAGCTGATTCCTCGCATATTGACCTGCTTTTGGGAGATGGGACTTTGACATCGCTATCTGCATGGAATCCAGTATTGATTTGGCTGGCCTCTTTGTTTGTTGAGCTTTGTTGAGCTTGAGCCTAGAGGGCAATCCCCGCAATATGCCGGGCATCAGAGCAGCAAGCATTACCGTCTTGGACCATCCGTGCTGCCAGCCTCATGAGGACCCGCCCGCTACGGCCATCCCCGATAAGATTCATGCATGTTTAGTGCAGTGCACAGAGCCGTGTGCACAAATCCCGAGCCCCTTCGCTAGGGTCTACCTGTACGGAGTACATCGAGGACAGCTGACAGCCAACAAACTCATTTCTGGATGATGTTATTTAGCACCACCGGGCTCCAGAGTCATTAATGCATAAGAGTGCGTTCATTGCTGCCTACCATCGTCCCCGAAGCACTGCCGCCCTCAACTGTGTGCTATACAGTAGATACCCTACTCGGGTGTAGGGTTCAAGTATGCCAGGATTCAGTCGATTTCCAACCATTACAAGTGGGACCGACCGACTTTCCCATAAACCATCCAATCAAGTCCCCGATAGATCCTTTTTGGGGCTCTCATCACGACGGGAATCTTCTTTCCCCTTCATGCGGACGGGGCGTATTATTAATACAAGTCGAGTTTGACTGGAAAGGAAAGATTTTTTTCCCTCTTCCTTGAGAATTCAGATATAACCAATGGGGTAAGCAAAACACGAACGGGGTCAGTCCGAAGACACGCCCTTGGGGAACTAATGTGAATCAGTATCTTGTTGAGAAGGAGGATGATTTTCTTTGCTAATGGGGCTGATCGAAGCTGGGTCTTTCCCGCCATTATCATTATCAGCACATGGACGATCTGGACATCTATGATCTCTAGGATATTTGGTTTCTGAGCATTTTTCTATGCTTGAGAATTGCAAGCCAGAAATGATCTGGCTTTCTAACAAAACCGAAACAATAAACAATAAACAATAATAAAGTCAGCATACTGTGATGTTCCCGTTCAACTCTGCCTTGGACAACAAAAGTCAAGCACTCCACCCGTACTTCCCGAACCCTTCCCTTAAAGAGGTAGGATGCAACGAGGGGAGCGGGAGAACAAAACCGGCCAAAAACTACTAAAGTCGGCAATTCGGCATCGATCCAAACAACCACGACGTTGAATGGATGGACCAAAATGCTTTGCCTTGGATTTGAAGAAGAAAACGACATGGGCCAGGCGGGTAAATCTCCGAAAGTCGCCGTTACAGCTACACTTCAATATGGTCAAATCCCCGAACCCTCCCCCTCTCCCCAATCTAAACCCCGATGCAGAATTGGCAATTGGTATTATTGCATCCCACTAGCATGGCATGACGGGAAAGCGCGGCGGCTGCGGAAAGGCGCGAAAATCGGACCTGCTGGCCCTGGATTCTGGCCTTGAAGTCTTGTCACTTACAATAGCACCGATACCTCAATGGCAGCTGACCTTGGAGAACGGCAATCGCTTTTTTTTTTTTTCGAGGCCCATTTTGGACGAAGCTAGCGGGTGGTCCCGTCCGCAAGTGGTCTCCGGCGAAGCGAGCAGAGCAAGTCAGTCTATGTCGGGTTTATCTCGGATCAAAAGGATGATGCTTCCAGTCTTTTACTCCTTTTGGTCATGCTACACAATGCGTAACGGATATACGGGATTAGACGGTGGTTTCTATGCATTTGGCCATGTTAGTTATTGAAAGTTTGGTCCAGTTGTCGGAGTCTTGGACTAGAAGTCTGGAGGATCAACAACCTGAGGATCCATGCCGATCTTCGTATACTGCAGTGCAGACGGACTATCTTTTGGTGGACAATCTTGATAACCACCCACTGGTCGCTTTGCAGCCAATACAATTATTGCGAGGTATAACTAGAACCCTTGGAGATGCAGCCCGTGACTGGGGCAATCGATAGCCTTTCCTTGAAGGGCTTCATATTGCTGTGTGGAGGGGTTTAGGTATCTGGGGTGTGAAGAACTAGTCTAACAAGCACCACGATTACCACTTCGCCCGCTTCTCTTGAGGAGATCAGCCTAGTTTTTCTATTAGTTCCTCAGCAAACATTGTTCTATCGTGCACGATTGGACTCTGATATGCTGATCGACATGCACACACAGACTGCGCCCGTGACTCCAGACTTACGCCATACTAGAAGCCTGCAATGGTAAGGAGTTCGGTGCCCTCAATTGTCGCGATTGAGGCCCTCCTTGTAGCGTGTGCGCCTTCCTAGCCTGTCCTTCCTGCCTAGGACAGGTAACATCTTCTTTTGCAAATACCTACCCCTGGAGTAGCAATATCTACTGCCTTCAATTAAAGAGTTCCATCCATTTTCAGATTCTGCATCAACTTGTTAAGACCATTCCGCCTATGATTCGGGTCACCGCTTGTCGTCGCCATCCAGTCAGCAAAAGACTTCGGGAGTATCAACATCAGAAAACAGACAAGAGAGTGTCTGTCCAGTATGAAGAGCATTATAGCTCTAGGTTGACTGAGAAACCAAGACATCTTGACTCCGCGTGAACATTTGGCCTCTCTAAGGCCGTCTCATGTATACTCCCCCCCCCCAAAGCCAGTGACAGGAAGGATGATGATAAGCGAGGCCCGGAAAGGCGGAGGGAAACCCGCCGGCGCCTCCCTCACCGCCCGTCTCTCCATTCCCCGTCGATCAACCAGATTGTGATCATGTGATTGAGCAGCCCAAACAGGCTTAGTGGCCCGCAAGCGAGGTGGTCCGAGCCCGCCGACCGGGCAAGCGCAGGAAAGCACACAACGGAATTTCAACCCTAGCCTTTTTGTCTGAATCCCCTCAACGCCCAGCCGACGACAAATCCGCCTGCCCAAACACCCGACCTCATCCCCCAGGTTTTCTCTCGCCTCAGAAAATTCAAGATGACTCACGAGTCTGTTTGGTACAGCCGTCCCCGCCAGTAAGTGCTCCCTGTTCGACGCGATCCGATTGAAAAATTGAGGGTATATTTCGTGAGACTAACGGAGATTCGTTGTATAGGTTCGGCAAGGGCTCCCGTGGATGGTGTGTTTAATCCCCCTGAAATCTGGAAACTGCGAAGAGAAACGATCAAAAGAGGAGGGGAATCACGCGACGAACTGGAATGCCAAAATGAAGGAACACCCAATGGACAAATGACTGATTTATGCTCGATTAAAATACAGCCGTGTCTGCTCCCACCGCGCCGGTCTCATCCGCAAGTACGGGGTATGGAACACCTGATATACTCTTAGTTGGATCGATTCGAATCTTTGGGACTGGTGAACTGATTGAGAATGCATTACAGATGAACATCTGCCGTCAGTGCTTCCGTGAGAAGGCCTCGGACATCGGTTTCTACAAGGTTGGTTTTCATCTTCACCTACACACCTTGCTCTACCATGCAACCTGCGCCCGCGATTGGAGGATACACATCATTGCTTGCGACCGTGGAAATGGACTCGACATACTCAACACCGGAGGAAAGGGGAATCAAAACAATATAACGACGAGAAGACAAGTTCGAAAGGGCGACGGCACACATGGATATCCTGCACATCACACAACATGCACACACCAACCCACCCGAACAACCTTAGCTAATGCCTCACCTCCTTCAGTTCCGTTAAATTCCTTCCTTCTTCCGAATTCAATTTTCCTTTGTTCACGACGGATCTCTTTCACGTGCTCGGGCGCTCGGTACCAAAATGAAGTGATGAAATGGAGAGGAGGAATTCTTCCTTTTCTTGTTCTCTCTCTTTCGAACAACTCCAGAGAATCGCCGCGAATCCTTGAACTTCTCTACAACCCCCCAATCCGCTCGGACAATGGCTTAGGATTTGCTCTTGAAAACAAAGCAAATTCCGGACTGGGGACTCATCTGGTACTCGGGGAGGATTTTGAATTTTTTAGAGAGCGGAGAAACGAGAGAAAAACAAGAAATGAAATCTTAAAAATTGAGGGATGCTTCATCTGCTTTTCTTTTCTTGCTGTGTTCCCCAACAATGCCTTCGGACAACTTGATCGATCGTCTGGGTTGGTTTTTTGCGATGCAAGCGAGTCACCGCATGGGGTCTGGCTGGCATATCTAAGCGTGGGCTCCGTCCCGTTGGGGCTGCTTCGTGCTGGACTGATCCCTATCGTGTGCATTATGGGACCCTTCTCCATCTGTCCTGTGGTCTTTGCGGTTCCTCCGATGTCTTGATCGTAGTGGTTAAGTTGGAGACCGCATCGCCCGTCTCGTAGTGTAGTTGAATGCCCGCGGCGCCCCTGAACAATACTGTACCCATTTAGCTCTAGCCAGGCACCCACCTGACACCGTACTGTGCTATCGGATTGGAACCTCGGTAGCTCCAAAGGAGCCAGTCCACAAGCCAATCACAGACCCCAGTTTGGATGGAAGTATACATTCTTCTTTCCCTTCAAGGTTCAAGTTGCTAAATACTAGGTATGCTACCGAAGACCCCATATCGGATGCAAGCCATATCCCAAAATAGCCTCCACAACGCTGGAGAAAAAAGACCCCCAAGAAAGACATGCAGAGGATACTTCCTTGCCCGCCCTACCTCCCTACCAACCTATCTCCTATCACGTATCAACCAGAGCTCAAAAAGGGTTTCTAACGAGTGCAAATAGTGCTATGGCTATGAATCATATGCTATGCCGATTTGGAAATTTCACCGCCCCCCAAACTCATTCATACAGTGTATGCGAAAGACAAAAGTAGACACGGAACTGAGTGAAAAAAAAAAAAAAAAAAAAAAAACCAAGTGGGCAATACAACACGGGGGGGGATGATCTAACTCCATGGTCCCGGACCCAGGTTTCATACTCCAGGAGGGATTTTGGTGCTGGAAACTGGAGTCACTTAAGAACAGACTGCGATGTGGGTCACCAAAGTAATAAGTCAGAATATAAGAATGAATGGCAAAAGGTCCGCCGTGAATGGAATTGGGAATAGTGGGAGGGATTATTGAGCTATCGATGATGATGATGACGATATGTACCGGGATGGGGAATCGATGCGGCAGGTTTCAGGGGGTGTGAGGTAGAAGATGAATATGTAAAGGAAAGAGCCTGAGAGCAACTAGACGTGTGTTGTTAGTGTGGTGCAGAGGCCAGGGATCGGAGGTTGTAGAATAGGAGGTAGGCGTCTGCGTTGAGGACGTCTGCCTCGGCCACTGGTGTTACTTGGTCGTCGTTGAAGAGCATCCACTGCTTGTTTTGGTTTGGGGTTAGTAGTTAGGCGAAGAGGGTGACGGGATGAAGGAAGGATTGAGAGGGGCGGAAGTGCATTGGAAGGATCAAGGGGAGAAGTCTTACCTCGTCTCCTTGGCGGCAGTAAACGTAATAGTGACCCGAATCCAGCTTGCCCTTGTGCACGACGGCGGATGAGAGGTCATACATGAAGCGTGCTTTGTCAACCTTGGAGTGTGGATTCGTCGTGTACGGGAGCATGTTGATGGAAAGCGGAAATTCAATCCGGCCTTCGAGTTTCTCGGAGACAGAGGCGCTGTGCTCGAATCGCTGGGATTTTTGGGTTAGTCTAGACTGGTAAGGATTTGTGGGGGTTGGAAAGTTGTACCTTGAGCTGCATGCATAAGATGGCCGGCAGTTTCTTGATCCGCAACTGCTTGGTCGCCTTCTGAGAGCCCCCGTTGCACTGGCTGCAGTTGTATACGCCTGCCATGAGCTTCTCCGGGGAGGTGAAACTCTCAAGGCAACCACTCAGCGTTGGGGTCGACGAACCAACCCCACCACCCATGGCTCGTTTCTTCACCTGTACATCGAGGCTGAGGTCCACCATCGGGTCCTCGGTTTTGGTGACATTGCCACACTTGTCGCATGTCACGCTACTACGGAGCTTGCCGTAGAATGTCTTGTGGAAGAAGCAAGGACATCCCTTCTGGTGGTTCTCGTGGTGGTCCTCGGTGCTTGCATGGAGTTTATCCACGAGGAATTGATAGTACTCGTGAGCGTCCTGTTGCTGATAGCCGGCTAGTGTCTGTAGTGCATGACATGTTAGCGAGACTATTAGAATGAAAACCATGGTGCACATACGGGACTCGAGCGCCATGACGCCACAAGAAGATTCAAAGCAGTAAACCCTTCGGCCTTGTCGATGCTGTTGAAGTCGGCAAATGCTTCAGCGACTGCACAGCCTACACAGTCGGGAATAGTACAGTCATGCGGCTGGTGACCATCTCCTAGAAAATATGTGCTGAGGATTGGATCGTGTAGGAGAGTCTGCAGGATGACATTCAGATAACAGGTCTGGCCCAAGTTGAACAAGCCCCTGACGCCCTGTTTTGCGCAGGGACGTTTGGTGGCATTGCTCCGAATGTATAGCTCATCTGCTGAACTATCGCTAAATCGACGTTTCTTGGCGACTGTGTGCGATTTTAGCGCCCATGGCAATGAGTCCGGTGAGCGCGCATGCTTACCTTGCAAGGCACTTTCTGCTGCGGAGCAGCGCAGTCTTTCCAGCCCATGATCGAAGACAAAGTCCCCGCAGCCCTGACAATAGAGATTGCGAGCTCGAGAATCCATGACTAGGAGGGTCAGTGGTTGGCCGCGCACTCGGCGAAGATGACTTACAGAATGAGTGACCCGTCTTATCGGTGTGAGCTTGCCGCTCGCTCATCAAGCAGGTTTCTGAACATGTCAAGCAAATATACTTGGGCTTTAAGAACCCGTGGGCCTTTGAACGAGCATTCTTAATGAGTCCGTCCACAGGCTTGGGCAAGACCGCCAGGGAGTTATGCGCCTTGATAAAGGAGCTCTTGAACTGCTCCGCCGTGTTGGCATCTTGTCCTATCTGGGTGGCCAGGTGCTCTTTCGTAGAGATATCAGCAATCAATACCATATTTCAGACAATGCATGGTCTAGAGGGTGTACATACCGCAGCCGAATTCGGCCTCCGAGAGCAATGAGACAGAGACCACACTGGCCACGGTCGCTACGGTCGCCATGACGGATCCGACGCACGACACAGGGGGTTTTCACAAAGAGCGCAAGAAAGTCAAACCGGCACAGCCAAGGTCAAGACTCTATGAATCAAGAGAAGAGGAGAGGGGTGATGTTCAGCAGGTCAACTGCAGATCAGAGAGGATCCATGCATTGCAGCACTGGGGAAGGTCTAGGTGTCATCCACATCAGTATTGTCTGTGAATCAGGCCAAGAAACAAGGACTGGGAGGAAGTATTTGATAATTTGTAACACGGATCACAGTACCTTATGAGATCCAATATAAAGACAGTGGGGATACTGAATAGATCAGCTCCGCAATAGAGTAAAGGTTGCAGCAGCCCGTGAGTGACACACTGGAGAGACTCCGCCAGCCACCGGAGGGTTCCGCTGTCGGGGATCGGAAGCGGGTGGATTCAGTCTGGACGGAGCTTCTTGTCCAGCCTTGCTTCGGCAATAATCCTTCCCACCACGAACCAGAAGTCCTGAGAGGCTTATAGAATGAAGAGCATGCGAGAGTAAGACTATTATAGAGCAATGATCCCAGAGACAGACAATTACAGAACGTCCTGGGTCTCGTTGCTGAGGAGGCGCAAGAAGCAGGTCAGGTCAGATCTTTTTTTGCGCAAGGGTCGACCGCGGCTGCTCCGGCGGCGATAAGACGCCGGATCCTCACTTGATCCGAGATCGCCTCCTGCGCCAATTTGTACGAAGTAACACATCACCTGAAGTGCAATAATACACCTTTTCGCAACAAGGCCAACTACCATTCACCTACGAAAGTCACTCCTCACAATAGAATGTTGTGTACATTGTCTACAATGCAAATCGAGCATTGAAGAGCTATCGTGAGACTAATCTACCAACACACAATCTAAAAACCTGTGTATACCAATTTTCCTGTGCTTGTCAAGCAGTATCGTATACCAAGATCGGTCAGCGCAGTCTGCTTCGCAGGCACCATCGCAACATCTTCACGACCTAGATCGTCCTATGTGTGCGGGTCTTTGTCCTCGCCGGGCCTGCCAGTCGCGTGGGATAGCGGCCAAGAGCGTGCACCCCTGTATGCGCATAAGTTTTTTGCCGTAATTCATGTCGCTTCTCATGTCCTCATTCACTGCTGCTCTTGATCACCGAATGCCTCTTCCCCGGGGCAGTGCACTGGGCCGGGATCCTCGGCTAGAGCCTCTTGTAGCATATCGCCCAGTTGTCGAGCCGCGCGTTCCTCTAGTGGCCCCTCTGGTTGTTCCTCTGGTGGTTCCTCTTGTAGATCCGCGCGAAGAAGCCGGGATCCTTGGCGTGGGCTTGGAAGAGATCATGCTCGGTGGGTTTTCGACAAACGAGGTATCCGTAGTCCTAAGGTCAAAGAATGTGTTCAGTATGATAGCGAAAAGGAGAAGGAAAGAGGCGGAAACTCCGGGCGACTTACATGAAAGTCATTTCTGCGTCATTGGTCGCTTGCGCTGCCTCCGCTTCAGCTGCTATTGAGTGTCAATATCTCATACTCGGGAAATTAAACAATGGAGCTGTACCGCTTTGCATCTCCGCTTGCTTTGCCCTCCGGAATGATTCTGCGATCGGTGCCTGAGATGAATGAGCAAATTGACCATCGTGAAATACGGATCAGACTATTGCGGTTGAGCAGTCTCATACCTCTGGAAAATCCACACAGAAGGCATTCATGTTCATTCCGTACAAGAAACTGGCGAAGCTTTCGCTGAATCGTGTCAAGCTCTCATGCATTAATTGGAGATGCATGAAGTTGGCTTCTAGATCCGCCATCGAGTCTGCGAGTTCCGCGAACTGGGGTTCCAACGCATTGATGGCGGGTTGTGTATAGCCAGCATTGCCAATACTGCTTCCATATCCATGGGCTTCGCGGAACGAGGAGCGTGAACTGGGTCGCAAGGGGGTCGTGGGTCGAGAAGAGGGCCGAGGGCGCGATGCTGAGCGAGAAAACGCATCCATGATGACCGTGGTTGGCTGAATTGAGATCCGAGGGTCAGGATAGAGATCAGATGCTTGCGATACGGCACTGCGCAGCGCACAATTGAGGCAGAGAGTGGATTGAATATTCAGCTATCTCGGAAGTTTGTTCCTCAGATGAATGTCTTGAATCGGCGTGATAATTCTGATAGATCGTAGGTTTGTTGACGGTTGCAAGGTTCGGTGCGGGCGGCGGGCGGCGGGCGGGCTGTTGTTGATTCCCCCGCTTTGGGAAGGTGCGGTCACTGGACCAGTTGGACAGGCTGTGGATCATTGATGCCATATCCATCAGGCCCTAAGCCAGATCGCTGCCTGGACCAGGTTAGTGTTCAACTAATTAATGGGATGGGCCCGACTATAATTAGGGATCTCTGGAGGATCCCAAGTCCCCTGGCTAAGCAAAAGGAAGAGAACACACGAGTGCAAGACTATCTCAGATAGGAAAGCCCGGATAATTCGACCGCAACAACTCTCCTCATAATCTCATTTCATCCCCACCCTCAGTTAGTGGCCCCCTCCTCCCCCC